GTATAATTTAAGGTGGCAATTCGCCTAGGCATTATATGGAATTTACTGCCACTTCCACTGCTTAGGATAGACTCTCCAGCTACTTTTAAAAGGGAACTCAAAACGAATAAATTATGACTGGAGATTTTCTTAATGATTTTTTAAGTGAGTGGTCAAGTAACATTTTAATTTCTACATTACTTTTTAAAATTAATTTTGCTGTTTTTATCAATTTTTTACTAGCCTTTATATTATTTCTTTCACGTTTTAAAGTCTACTGAACAAATTTGGATTTAAGACTCAAGTAAATATTATAATTATTAATTCAGAAAGTTATTTTCACGCTGCACACCTTGAGTCCTCTGTCTCTGGTGACAGAGGGACCGGCGCCATATTCGTTATTTTCTGATGCCATTTTGGTCCTTTGTGATTTTAACTAAAATGCATGCACGGCTGTGAATGCCAGCACGTGCTTGTTACATCACCATGGAAGTGCTTTCTTTGTCTTCTATATTTAGGATATATACTTTGTGTTATAATGCCTTCACAACAAATCAACATCATGGACAATAATGAACTCATCCAATTGACTGAAAATACAGTAGACTGGAGAACCATGATCCGTGATGCCTGCACCAGGCCTGAGACATGATCATGATATTTATGATTATATATATATATATATATATATATATATATATATATATATATATATATATATATATATATATATATTATAAGAACTTTATAGAATATATATTGAGGACATTTTTCGTTTCCTATTTCTTAACAAGACCAACAGCTGTCCACCTTGACTATTTTCAATGGCCAGGTTGAGCTGACCATGGGCAGTGCTTACTGGTGCCAGTTTTGACCTGTCCTCAACCTCTACCTTACCTTGGTCAAGCAGTTCTGACCTGTCCTCAACCTCTACCTTACCTTGGTCAAGCAGTTCTGACCTGTCCTCAACCTCTACCTTACCTTGGTCAAGCAGTTCTGACCTGTCCTCAACCTCTACCTTACCTTGGTCAAGCAGTTCTGACCTGTCCTCAACCTCTACCTTACCTTGGTCAAGCAGTTCTGACCTGTCCTCAACCTCTACCTTACCTTGGTCAAGCAGTTCTGACCTGTCCTCAACCTCTACCTTACCTTGGTCAAGCAGTTCTGACCTGTCCTCAACCTCTACCTTACCTTGGTCAAGCAGTTCTGACCTGTCCTTAACCTCTACCTTACCTTGGTCAAGCAGTTCTGATCTGTCCTCAACCTCTACCTTACCTTGGTCAAGCACATTGCCGAACACTGACACTGGATCCACTGTGCTACAATTCCAGCGTCTGTTCTTAAACTGGTACTGACATTCGTCGATGGCAGTTCTTGCTCCCATAGTGACACTGTTCATTATCTCCACGTTCCTCTTACATAATACTTTCTGTCTGTTGTTAAGTCCTATGAGTTCGTCACAGATCTGCTCTGTGTTAATAGAGATTGAGCTCATTCCCAACGCCCTGGAAAGAATAACACAGGTGATGAATTAAAATTTACGTTGTCCAAATCTTTATATCGTTTTATGGGAGCAGTGACCATCAATAAAATATCGAAACGCATATTGGCGGGAAGAGTAATATCTATATTTATGAAACAAAACAAGTCTTGGAATTCAAAAAACAACAGAGCCATGCACAACGCAAAGAGAGGCACTGAACATAGATATATAAATAAACTGAATTTCAAGACAAATTCACAGCATTTACACCAATTACACCCCGAAGTATTTAGCTTCTTGGCCTTGGTCGTAATTTATTGGTGTAAAAGTGCAAGTCCGTCACTGCCTTTACAGGAACCATATCGACAACGTTTACACACTAGCCAAATCAAACCCCCTTGTTATAATTTCAGTTTCATAAAATAAATCGCATTTTCGTCACTGTAACGAAAAATTATACCACCGACATGCGAGTCGGATAAGTAGTAGATAGTAAATGACTTTATAAGTATTTACTGCAGGATTATAAAACATGACCAGACACATACACGTAACAGAAAATGTATTATTCTTAGATGCTCTTGTTGCTACATTTCAAATACCAACCTATTCAATAAATTTATATATGTGTTTATTTTTCTTCAATAATTTATTTAGCGAAACTCTATGTACAGCATTTTCTCCTAATTAAAACCCCATTTCATTTTTCAATTTTAACTCTCGTAGGCCTATATCGTTTTGTATTCAAAACAAGTAGAAATTTTGTTTTGTGTAAATAATGACATTGTAAACAAGAGTAGACGTTAACCGAAAAATTGGGGAAAAAATCTGAAAACTTTCACACAGCAGCTGATAGTAGCTTTTCCTAATCTTAAATGGTACTTTTATCTTCTCAGTGCCCAATAGGGATTACGTTTTATTCTTCTGTATAAGAGTATATAATCTCCAAGTCAACAAGAGAGATTCCGGAGCTCCAGGAACGTTTCCAAGTTTTGACTTGGACGTTACGCGGCACTGTTTTAAAGCGGCCTAAGTCTGTTATGATAACGATTATTAGTANAAAACATGATGTTATCAACCTTTGCACAGCGCATGTGGCGCACAATGTATATTTTTCCTTGTTGATACGCCGCCTGTGCGATTTATATATCTACACCAAATGAACTGGGCTGTACAGGACGAACCAAGGTTGAAACTACGCGTTAAAAATTAACATTATTAAAATAAAACATTTATAAATCACTAATGGTATGAGGATAAATTTGCAGGCTGACTAGACTACATTATTTATACGATATATAAGGATATACATTTATATTATGTACATGTATATACAGTGAGTTACACGTCCTAATGGATGCTATCTATACAAGTGAATAACAAGCTATTTCACAACATTATCGACAATTAGTGGCTGTGATGAACTACAGTAAATGACAGGTAATCTATATATTCTCACAGCAGTCATTACAAATTCTCTTATCACTTTGAGACTTTTACGAGGTGAATTTAGGAGAATTTACAGCACTTCCAACTGCACAGTTATCGACACTGAATCAGCTGCTAATGCTGACCACAACAGAGCACTCTCGGAGCTCGTTGAAACTTTGTGTAAAAAGTCCCCTGCCATCTCACACGGATGGCGCGCGGCCTTGTGCTCTTCACCCCCACATAAATCACACTAATGTGCTCACTATGTTACTCATTGCAAGGAAATGGAGAAGTTAATTATAAACAATTAAGGACTCTTCGATTGGGTTCAAAGACTTCGTGGTGAAAGAAAAGATTATCCAAATAGCAATCCGGCTATTACCGCACTATTAGAGCGAGTTCTGTTGGACTGGTTACAGCAACCGCTCTATCTGTTTGACCATGCAACCATAAGCATGCGTCTGTAGGGTAATGTTATTAAGAACATGGTGGAGAGAATATGTGTGGGTAGGGGCCGTCAGAGCCGTCTTGGAGACGATATCAGCTATTTGTGGTGCAGACAGGTGCGGGGGAGGTGTGTGTGCGTGTGCGTGTGCGTGGGTGTGTGTTGGGGGAGGGACACGGGCAGAGTTTTGTACTACGGGGATCTGGTATGTCGAAACTTTAAATTGTGTAAAAGTGCATTTCTCGGCATACATGGATTAAGGCTTTATCTCCAAGTCAAGCATATGGCATGAACAACCAGTCGGAGACAACTGTAAGTTGTTTACCGTACTGAACTGGAACTTTTGAATCATCAAAAGGTATTCGAAGACTTGTGACTGAACAGTACAAAAGAGGAAATTACCAAGAGGATCATCAAGTTGGTATCGTTTGTGCTGGAATCGCCCCACCTCAGCAGATGAAGTAACACAGTAAACACAGTAAAATAGTTGCTCAGCTATCATTAGACAACACACCTACGTCACCATGGCAACAGTTCATCAGCCTGCTAACTTGCCACTGTTTGACAAACAGAACATTTGTAGATAGGGCTCAACCGGATAAAAAACTCTCTTACCTGTTGCACCTAAAAACTGTTTCACACCGACGTAATTTACTCATTGGCTTACTGCAGGCAGTAACCAAACCGCCACAGAAAGTGATAGGCAAATGGCACTCCAATCTTATTTTAATAAAAATTGAAACTTTTAATATGGGAATGGAATGGAATTTACATTTTTTAAACATCTTTATTCTCAAGAGGGTTAAATATTGATACAGTATAATTTAAGGTGGCAATTCGCCTAGGCATTATATGGAATTTACTGCCACTTCCACTGCTTAGGATAGACTCTCCAGCTACTTTTAAAAGGGAACTCAAAACGAATAAATTATGACTGGAGATTTTCTTAATGATTTTTTAAGTGAGTGGTCAAGTAACATTTCAATTTCTACATTACTTATTAAAATTAATTTTGCTGTTTTTATCAATTTTTTACTAGTCTTTATATTATTTCTTTCACGTCTTAAAGTCTACTGAACAAATTTGGATTTAGGACTCAAGTAAATATTATTATTATTAATTCAGAAAGTTATTTTCACGCTGCACACCTTGAGTCCTCTGTCTCTGGTGACAGAGGGACCGGCGCCATGTTCGTTATTTTCTGATGCCATTTTGGTCCTTTGTGATTTTAACTAAAATGCATGCACGGCTGTGAATGCGAGCACGTGCTTGTTACATCACCATGGAAGTGCTTTCTTTGTCTTCTATATTTAGGATATATACTATATGTTATAATGCCTTCACAACAAATCAACAACTGTACAATAATGAACTCATCCAATTGACTGAAAATACAGTAGACTGGAGAACCATGATCCGTGATGCCTGCACCAGGCACCAGACATGATGATGATATTAATGATTATATATATATATATATATATATATATATATATATATTATAAGAACTTTACAGAATATATATTGAGGACATTTTTCGTTTCCTATTTCTTAACAAGACCAACAGCTGTCCACCTTGACTATTTTCAATGGTCAGGTTGAGCTGACCATGGGCAGTGCTTACTGGTGCCAGTTTTGACCTGTCCTCAAGCTCTACCTTACCTTGGTCAAGCACATTGCCGAACACTGACACTGGATCCACCGTACTACAATTCCAGCGTCTGTTCTTAAACTGGTACTGACATTCGTCGATGGCAGTTCTTGCCCCCATTGTGACACTGTTCATTATCTCCACGTTCCGCTTACATAATACTTTCTGTCTGTTGTTAAGTCCTATGAGTTCGTCACAGATCTGCTCTGTGTTAATAGAGATTGAGCTCATTCCCAACGCCCTGGAAAGAATAACACAGGTGATGAATTAAAATTTACATTGTCCAAATCTTTATATCGTTTTATGGGAGCAGTGACCATCAATAAAATATCGAAACGCATATTGGCGGGAAGAGTAATATCTATATTTATGAAACAAAACAAGTCTTGGAATTCAAAAAGACAACAGAGCCATGCACAACGCAAAGAGAGGCACTGAACATAGATATATAAATAAACTGAATTTCAAGACAAATTCCACTGCATTTACACCAATTACACCCCGAAGTACCCTTGGTCGTAATTTATTGATGTAAAAGTGCAAGTCCGTCAGTGCCTTTACAGGAACCATATCAACAACGTTTACACACAAGCCAAATCAAACCCCTTGTTATAATTTCAGTTTCATAAAATAAATCGCATTTTCGTCACTGTAACGAAAAATTATACCACCGACATGCGAGTCGGATAAGTAGTAGATAGTAAATGACTTTATAAGTATTTATTGCAGGATTATAAAACATGACCAGACACATACACGTAACAGAAAATGTATTATTCTTAGATGCTCTTGTTGCTACATTTCAAATACCAACCTATTCAATAAATTTATATATGTGTTTATTTTTCTTTAATAATTTATTGAGCGAAACTCTATGTACAGCATTTTCTCCTAATTAAAACCCCATTTCATTTTTCAATTTTAACTCTCGTATATCGTTTTGTATTCAAAACAAGTAGAAATTTTGTTTTTTGTAAATAATGACATTGTAAACAAGAGTAGACGTTAACCGAAAAATTGGGGAAAAAATCTGAAAACTTTCACACAGCAGCTGATAGTAGCTTGTCCTAATCTTAAATGGTACTTTTATCTTCCTCATGCCCAATAGGGATTACGTTTTATTCTTCTGAGTAAGAGTACATAATCTCCAAGTCAACAAGGGAGATTCCGGAGTTCTAGAAGCGTTTCCAAGTTTTGACTTAAAGGTTACGCGGCACTGTTTTAAAGCGGCCTAAGTCTGTTATGATAACGATTATTAGCAACGGTAACATCGTAACAATTACACCAGAAGTACAGTGCTATCTGGGCAAAAACAACGCTCTATCAGATGTTTATTGCCGGAAAACGTGGACCACAATTTACAACGTTTACCTAATGGATTCCCTGGTGATAACGAGGTCGCGGTTTTATTACTCTCCCTACAGATAAATGACAAAGAGTTATAAAACCTAGTTACTGCGACACGATGGGGTGACGGGATCAAATGGTGATCGTTTTGGCTTCTGGAAAGAATGGCAGGGGGATTGTGACCAATAGCCGCCGCACCCACGGTTACATACACGACTTTTAAAACTGGATCAAAACAGGTTTACATAGTGTGTCATTAACGTATTTCTTTAACTGCCCATTCACACAGACTACTTCACCACTCATGTGTATATCATTTTAAGTAGTGTTAACATAAGTGTGTCAACCTTGCACTGCGGCTTCATGGGGATTTTGACCGAACATAAGGCAAGATCGAAATATGCCACGCTTCATCTGCCTTTCTACGGTTTAATGAGAATCATCTGATAGTCATAGCCCTAACACCGTCTTTCCTGGCAAATGTCTTATGAGAGTTGTTTTTTAAATGTCAACAAACAAGCAATAACAAAATGTTCTTCGAGATTTACTTTAGCCTCCAGCCAATAGGAAAAATGGTCATTTCTTTGCTTGTAAAATGTCAACATCATATACAAAACGCCTTGTTATTTTTATTGACAAAACGGGTCTTTGTGATATTACCAACAAATCCCAAGTACCAAGGACCTGGAGTTCGTCATAAGGGTATAGGGCACACTCAAAAGTCTGCATTTGATTATGATGTTAGAAATTTATGTTACAAAGCGAGCACGAAATGAGGAAATAGTATGGATATATTTCGCTGCCCTTTTCAAAATCTTTGATGATTCAAACGCTCATTTCTTTGTTCATATATCGTATAACGCATTGTTTCTTCGCGACAGCCATATTCAATAAAATAATTCCTTTTTAATTGGTATGGTAAAGGACCTAGCCCGGGTGCCGTATTAATGATAGAAATGGATGGTTTTCGGTCTAGAATAGAAACGATTCAGTCAGACACAGATGCTACATTAATGCGGGCAAGGTGATGGGAAAAAAGAGTACACACTAGTTGACTTCTCCCCGCCGTGCACGTGCTGAGCGACTACCGTCTGCGACGTCAGTCACGCGCCATGACGCTGATGGCAGACGACAGTTCACCCAACTGGGACACTTGGCAGCCCGGGACACGCCTTTCGTGAACAAATCGTTCTTGGAATCTGACTTAAATAAATATTATGTTCAGTTTTCATATAATATACCAAATAAAAAACGAATAAATATAAAAACTAAGATCATCAGACCTCATTGTTGTAAGAATATTAAAGTACAGGACAACACCCAAGAGAAGTTTTAGCTAACTCCATTTTGACGTGTGCACTATCTTTGAACTGGTTCACGCTACACCTCATCACCTACATGTAACATTATTTTATTTTTATTTAGGCTACGACATGTCTTTATCTTGATACTGTCGGGCAAAATATATTATAGTTATCTTAGCACGTGTGAGGTTTTAATATTGTGTGGTGGTCTTTCTTCTATATACGCTCTATATGACCAGCTTTCCCCGACACTTGTCTCAAAGTCACAAACAGAACAAACGACACAAAGCAGACAACGTACACGATGTTAATCCGCAGATGCAGGAGTTAGCTTGAAGCAGAAATGAATGTCTATAGCCATGTGTACATTGAGCCACTGCTGCAAAGGGAGACAGCGAAGCGGATCGCCATTCCGTCACTTCCACAAACAAGTCGTTTTGTGGTGCATTTTTTATCATCCAATCCACGCAGAAGTAAAAAAATGTAGGCATACGAACCATTAAACATGTACCCCTGCCATATTAACTCTGTCGGTTTTTAAAGAGTTAGGTAACCCTACCTGCTTCAGATTCCCTAACTCTTTATTGTAATAATACGATATTTATTGTTTTTAATTTATCTAACGATATCCAATGGCATTCCTGCCCTGCGTCCATCTTTTTTCTACCATCAGAGGACGGAGGACTTGCTTGAAACGTTAAATCAAATACCAAAGACTGAACTACTTTATAATAACTGGGTATTCATTAAGGAACGCTTCAGCCATTGATTTACAGACTGGCATATAGCAATACGAACCACTTCACATTTCAACAGTGTTGAACGGTATTTTGAAACACATTTCAAATACTGATATATAGAACAGTAGACACGGCAAACAAGGCAGTTAACATTTGAATGATCCGGAAAGCAATAAAAATGCTGACAGTGAAATGAAATCGATCGTAAACCAATGTACAAATGTTTCGGAAGTATTTCATAAACATGCCGCGGCGTTGAGGCAGTTGACAAGTTTACACGGTTTTTGCTGGCTTGCTGCTTACTTGGCATGTGACAAGGTGGGTTATTTATATCCGCTGTGTTAACCAGGATGAAATCACGATTCTTGGATAAAAAAGTACTTATAGAAAGATAAAGGGCACACTGTTAAAAGGTTTGATATATGAGTAAGTAGATAATTGGATGAAATCATAAACATACAAGACTGAATACGTAGTGATAACGAAATAAATTCATCAATTAATAGATATATAGATAACTTAGCATTATTTATTGTTACTTAAAATGCCCATTTTATAAAAACAGAATGAGCTAATAAAATCATTAAGGACAAGACGGTAGATAAATAACCATAGTAGTAGTGTATTACTTAAACGTTTATGACTATAACAAAGCACATGAAACACTTTCTGAATTATTATAAATTGGCCATCTTGTAAGCTCTGACTTGCTATTCTGAGTTACATGCCATGTTACATGAGTTGTGTTTATTGTTAAATGGAAAAAAAATATTTTTAGTTGGCCTTGAATATAACAAATGGATTTCTACCAATTATCCTTGATTGTTTCCGTATTGCTTTAATATCTTGTTGCGTTTTCGGTTTCTCAAGCTTCAGGCTGAAGAAACTCTTTTTTCAGGTGATATTACACTGTACATGTACCTTGAAACAATCCTGACAAGACGCATGCAGATCACAGTCTTTCCATGAGCCGCCTCGAACTTGAACTATCGCTTTATACTATGCTCTCATCGAATGCTCTTGAAAAGTTTCCTGATTTCTGCATTTTGCTCATCGCCACGAGAGAGCGAAGCACCTGTAGCTGTAGGTTAGGTCGTCAATACAACGCTATCACATACCGTCTGCGTTGAGTCTCGTGAAATGCGATGCCATTACTTGCACTTGTTTGGTTTAGACCCCGTGCGCTTTAGCCTCTAGATCAGAGCCGTTGACGTTTTGCACATGAGGCGTGTGGAACGGTCATCTCAAATAGGGACACCGTTACATCACAAAGTAACCCCCCTCCCCCAGAATTCAACGCTTGGGATAAGAAGAAAGCATTTACCAAGAATTATCATCGCAGCACGGGTGTTATATAAGGCTCCCTTCACTATTACCTTTTTATTTGTCTCGGAATAAAAAAACAGATGATGAACCTCTTGTTTCTAGAAATTTGCGATTAGAATCACTTCTGAAGTAGCACTAGAGACCTCCGTATCTTGGTGATGGTAAAATACATTTTCAGCATAATCCGAATCCTTTGAACTATTTCCACAGCTGACGTGGTGAGAGGACGCTATGCGGTGAAGGAAGGGAGGGGGTAATGAGTGGGAGTTCGAAGTGATCTGGAGAATGTCAGATACCAGACTTATCATAGGACGCGGCTGTGCCAGTGGGTTGATGTAGCCCCTCCGCACAGGTCGCATGACTCAAAATCACTATATGATTATGATAAGATTAAACAGCTAACTCACTATGTTTAGTCCGGTGGCTTAAGGAAAAAATCGTGACACGGCGGATAAAAGCACCAAATTTGGCATGTAGTTACCTTTTGACATTCTAAATCAAATTAGAGCCGTAGCCCTCTGAAACAAGTTACCGTTTGGTCAAAAATCCAAAATGGCCGCCAATTTATGGAATTCTATAGAAATGTGTACACACCCATGTTGATTTTTATTAAATAAATTATTTTCTCAGAGTTTTCCACACCCTAATTTCCCATTTTATTCATATATGTCAGATAGCAAACAAGTTCCCTTGGACTTTTTGAAAAAATCCAAGATGGCTGTCATATGCCATAGGAACAGCCATAGGAATACTAGTGCACAACTATAATACCAGCTAGAAAGATACGTTGTCCACTATCAAATTAAGTCTGTTTCTCAGATTTTTGTTACCCACATAATATGTTTGTGGTGAGTAACTACGAAGTGTTCTTGGGCATTTTGGAAAATCCAAGATGGCTGCCATGTGCCACAGGAATTGTAGTATACGGGGGATTCAATTAATGGCAACTGGAAAGATTAATTTTCCACTATCAAATTTAGTTTGTTTCTGAGTGTTTTCCACATCCTTTCCACCCACACAATATGAATGTGGTGTGTAACTAACATGTATTCTTGGCCATTTTGAGAAAATCCAAGATGGCCACCATATGTCATAGGAATTCACCTAGTATTACAAAGGGTAAGAACTAATGCCAGCTAGGAAAAACATGATTCACTATCAAATTCAGTTATTTTTTCAGTGTTTTACACATTATTATTACACTGTGATACATATCTAGCAGGTAATAAATGAGCATATTTGATTATTTTGAAAAAATCCAAGATGGCCGTCATTGGCCATAGGAATACTACTGGAATTACAACTGCACATCCATGGCTTGTCATCTACTACCAGGGTGAAATTGTGTTTGTTTATCAAGTTTTGCCCATCCTTATTAGTCCTATGATATATATATCTGGTGGGTAAATAGTGCGCATCCTTGGATATTCTGAGAAAATCCAAGATAGCTACAATTTTACATAGGAATACTAATGGGTGGGTTTCAATTGCTGCAAGAGAGACATGTGGTCTATTATACAATTACATTACCATGGGTATGTTTTAAAAATGATTTACATTTTTCATTCCATTTAATATTACCCCTTTGATGTCTACCTCGTCTGTAGCATGTGTGTATCTTTGGGTATTCTGAAAAAAATTCAAGAAGTCTGCCTTTTGTCATTAGAATATTTGTACACATAATCATATAATGCCAGAGATACAATGAGTACAATTTAAATGTCGTTAACTTTCATTTTTGAATGTTTTTCCTTTCATATCCTATTAATCCTTAAGAAAGACTCTGTGTGTGTAGAAAGTGTGTGTATCCTTGAGTACTATTTGGAGAAAACCCAAGATAGCTGCCAGTTGTCATAGGAATATATCATTCAAATGCACATAGGTGTCAATTAATGGAACAGTTCAGACATTGACTCCAAAATGAAATATAGCCGTTTGGTGTTCAAACATGTTGACACCCTTATTAACTTTACTCTGTATAAATCTGGTGTATAGCAACTGTGCATCTTACGTATTTGAGAAAATTCAAGATTGCTGCAATTCACAGTAGGAATAGTACAGTCAACTTGTGCCAGAGAGACATTGGATTCAATATAAAATGAATTTTGTTTCTCGGTATTTCCTACATTCGATTTGGACTTTGAGATATCTATCTGGTGGGTAACAAGTGTGTACCCTTAAGTATTTTCATGATTACCCTGATTTGCCTTAGAAGTGCCTATAAAGTCCAATGCAACAGTCTTCCTATGGGGAAAAGAAGGCCATCTTTGATTTCCCCAAAATGATCAGATATGGACATTTATTACCTAGCAGATATGTATCATGGGATAATAATAATAATAATAATAATAATAATAATAATAATAATAATAATAATAAAAGAAAAACAATTGAATTTAGCTTCATTTTATATGGAAACCTATCTCTCGCAGGTTTTAACTGAACCCCACCTTCTATGGCTAATGGCAGCCATTTTGTTTTGTTTTCAAAAAGGATATACATAACATTCACATCATATATATATATTATGTGGATTAAAAACATGTGGAAAATAGTCAGAAACAAACCTAATTTATCAATTAATATTATATCTCCATGGCAGAAGAAGCCCTATGTGTATACTATAGCGTTCCTTTGATATGGTGGCCATCTTGGATTTTTCTCGAAATGCCTGAGAACAAAGGTTAGTTACTCACCAGAAATATATTATTTCTGTAATAAGGCACTCAGAAACAAAATTAATTAGTGGGCAATGCATCTTCCTAGTTGTCATTAGTTGAAAACCCTTGTACATGTTCTAGTATTCCTATGCCATACGGCGGCCATCTTGGATTTTTCAAAAAGTCCAAAGACACTCATTTGGTATCTGACATATATGCATAATATGGGTAATAAGGATGTGGAAAACATTGAGAAAATACTTTATTTGATAAAAATCAACATAGGTATGTATATATTTCTACAGAATTTCACTAATTGGCGGCCATTTTGGATTTTTTGGCCAAACGGTAATATTTTTCCGTGGGCTACGGCTCTAATTTGATTTAGTATGTCAAAAGGTACCCACATGCAAAATTTGGTGCTTTTATCCGCCGTGTCACGATTTGGCTATTTTTTTGCCTTAAGCAACCGGACTAGTTAATATTCATCGGCCCTTTTATTTATTATTCCATTTCATGCATTCATCAAATATGTTGCCTCCTGAGGTATTATGTTTTATATCATTGTTTCACTGCTCTTCGTTCTTTATAAATTGTATTGTATGGAGAACTTTTTTTAACATTTTTGATAGTTGGATTTTCCTGTACAGAAGTAAAACTTATTAATACTCCTCGAAGAATTTCATTATTTCAATATTTTGTTTGTTTTCCTCTTATTTTGTGATTTCTCTTATTTAGTATACCGGATACCGACAACCTGCAAGGTTTACTCCAGAATAAATTGATCGATCCTCAGTCACACGTCTTGCCTTACTCGTGATATTAGGCTTCTTTTCACTACTGCAATGAGTGCCCACGATCCGAGACCGGTGAAAGAGGGTTATTTATCGCCTATAATTTTATTAGTGCAGGTAAATTGTTGGCCGGGCATTCGGTGTAGATGCGAGAGCAAAACGCAAACGGCTTCACTTTTATTGACTAATAGTTGACCAGATTAACGGGATTGGAGGGGGAGGTTAAAAGCGCTCTTTGTAAGTTACCATTAACGTGATTTTCGATATATTTCAGGTATCCCTTCCTTCAAATTTCCCGGAATTATAGTGAAGCTCTTTAAAAAGTACTTTGAAATGGTTAAACCTCGTATCTCCCTTTAAAAACTTTCCGTTCTTTTCCAAAGTTTCTTAACTTCATTTCTTGGTTAAGTTGACAGCGAAAACGTTGAGTTGGAACAAATTGGAAGGAATTGCGAAAATGAAAAGAAAAGGTTGGCATCGAGAGAAAAAACATCAATTGTACAAGAGAAAAAAGTTCAAAACAATCAAGAAAATCAAAGGTCGCTTTAGGATCGGCTGAAGAATTTTAATTTTAAATAGCAAACAACAAAGAGATCTGAGCTTTCTTGACACATACTTCCCTCAGACTATACAGTATACTGTAGCCATATAATTTGTGAAGTTTGTCGTCATATTGTCTCTCTGGCGTGAGCGTACCTCGTCCATGCCTTGTCATAGCGGGGCAAAAGAAGCACGAGTTAAGTAGAAAATAAACAGGAACGCTGTGTTTATGACTATTTCAACACAAGCAGTCGTGAACGACTCTCGGCGTTCGTCTCCAGACCTGGTTTACAAAGGCCGCGGCTGCTGTACAAGAGTATACGAAACGTGGTTAGAGAGGATTTATAATTCAACTGATGGGACTACGAAGTGGACAACGGTCACCACATTTTTGGGAAAATCGTTTAAATAAACACAACAGTGTCTTAAGTTGTTGTCCTGGGGCGGGGGGGGGCTTAATAGTTATTTCCACATTTATATGAAGAATAACTATAACAAGAAAACTGTTAGGTGAATTAGGTGAAGGATACACTTCTGTATTTTCTACCCATTGACCTTGAGCGTTTGTAGTCGCAGTTATCGGGGATGTCAAAAATTTCTTCTGCACAGAAAACGATGTGCCAGCCTTATTACTAGATATATACAGATCTTTTCAAGTTTCGATAAAAAATGTCCCATGTTATTCCTTGTTCCGTGATTGTATCGCAGTGTGTTGTCGCACACATAGAAAGTTATTGAGGCACGAGCTTAGTCAGCTGTGACGATTTGCGACGCATCCCGCGCGCCTAATTCCTTGTCATCGCGACAAAAGCACCGCATACTTCCATCCAATAGATCTATATGCTACGAAAGTCCAGTTTACGATTTCAAAGCCCTGCGCCTCAACATTATATCAACACGAATGAGAGTGTAAATTTTATTGATCAAAGGTGGTTTGTACGTGTGTGTGTATATAATGTGCTAGTCGTAGTAGTCGGGGCATACCTCGGCATCAACCTAAATTCCCCTTTGACAATGTAAAACGATGATAACCACATTTCAGCTCGGGCAGAAATTGATCTTGACAGCGTGCAAATTGAAAGACAGAAGAAAAAAGAACAACCTGGCCATGGTGGCGAAAACAAAAGACGGATTTAATGGGAGAAGGCTTTGTCGCACAGTATGAGAAGAAAAACGGGGCGAAAGAGACCCCAAAACAAAGTATAAACAATAACTAATACTCACAGCCACTTGATTCCGTCACTTAATTGACAGCGGTCCAGGAGCAAGATCCCGATTCCCAGCGCCCAAACTTCCATACTTCATGAAATCCCTTTTTTTATCCAAAAATGTCTCTGGCGCTGCGTTTCAGCTATTTATGTGTCTTAATTGCTGTAACTTTCTCCGTACTTGTAATCTAGACCGCGTTCTGGACATGCGACTTTCCCTTGCGGTATGCATACAGTGTGCACGTTAAATTCCCATCAGAAAGCTCTGAGGTATATTTATGAGTGTACCGGGAGAGAGAAACATAGGGAGGCAAGGGTTGGTTAAGGGCGGTAAAGACAAGGTGACGTCAACCTGACGTCATATCCGGGTTTTAACTCTTCTTATTGTACGCCTCCCCTGTCTTAAGCCAGTTTTCCCGTGGTACATCACCCGCGCGATTTACAACCTGAGTTAATACAGTTATCAAAAGACCGCGTTAACATTGCGCAACTGACTGCAAACCCCACAAGTTTTATGACCGCGGCCCGACCGGCTCTTCACTCCCGAGCGGCTTACGACATTTTTATGACCCTTAGTCTACCGACAAGTCCTCGTGGGAATGTAGGGGTAGAAGAGCACGAGGCGGTCCGCTGTTTTAGGTACACCAGGCCCTCGCGCTCGGGGAAGTTGCCGGAGAACTTGAACGCCGCAAGCAGGGCGCGCCGCAGGGCAGTGTTGACTATCAATAAATTTAGATCGTAGACGCTGTGTCCTAATGTTCCAAACATAAAAAATATGAATAGCAGACTTTAAGACACATCATCTTTTATAAGTTCCTGTTTATTTTGGCTTCATATTTCACCTTTATTTCACAAGGTGATATTTTCTTTCAGCACCTTTTTATCTTACAGAGCAGAGACCATTAGGAAACCGTAAAAACGCCGTAACCGAAATACAAACATACCAAGATTAAAACCCTAGGCCCGTGCTGAAGAAATAACTTCTCGTTTGAGTAATGTTAAGCATTTGATTAAGTGAAAAAATAAAAGAAAAGGAAAATAAAAAGATATTCCCCAGCAGGGTGTCAATAGGCGGGTGGGGCCGGCAAATGGAAGGGGAGAGGTGAGCAAATAGAGAATTAAATGTCAGCGAAGAGTTGCCCTCTTTCTTTTCTTACCCAAGCCTCTGGGAAAGATGTTCTCAATGTACCGGAGGGGGGGGGGGGGGGGGGGGGGAGAAAACCGGATCAAACGAGGAAGAGCAATGTTTAATTTCCCTATTTAAAAGAACAGTTCAAGGAAAGGAAAATAAATAGAACGCGCTGCTGCCGACTGATTGACTGGCATCTCTATGTAACACCAGTAGCCGTTGATAAGGACAGATATTGCAGGTTTATGCGCCAAAACGTGGAGCGAAGGGCTTCCCAGAGGCGGTGATCCTGCCTTCATAGCGTGCAGGGTCGCCCCGGGAGCTGCAGTTAGTACCGGGATACCTTCACGCGCTTAGGCTAAAGATCCCAGTAATTGTTTCTTAACCATTTAAACTGTTGATTTACGCGTGCGCGTGTGGGTGCGCGATTATGCGTGGAAAGAGTGAGAGGTGCTCCTTTCCTCTTGCATACATTTCAGTTGGTGGTGGTGTGGGCATCCGTGTCGGGCAATACTTCATCCAAATCACTTTTTTTTCTGAACATTTTTTTTTTCGAAAAATCCAACTTGAACTTATCAACAGCCCAAATCCTCAAATGTTAAGGTCACCACTCGCATATGTAGGCAGAAGTACAACGAAAATTTTATTATACAAACCTAAGTGTTTTCAAACTGATCAAATTGTTATCACTTTACAGCGTTTCACAATTTTAATTGTTTAAAAAAAATAACATAAAATGTGTATCGGAGCTAAAATTAGCGTCGGTCTGATGAGTTATTGTTATCATTACTATTATTATTATTATTAGTAGTAGTATTTTTGTTGTTGATATGACTTTACATTTTACTGTATTTCATTCTGTTGAGCTCAAGGGTTTTACAAATTGAAATGAAGCACTGGCTCCCGTTGTCCTGACAGAAGCTTGTCGTTGTTCCTCATCGCGTTCGCCTTGCACCCTGCTCTGATTTCTGGGAGGTTTTAGAAGCATCAATGATTGGCTGAGATGATATCGACTGTCGATTTACGAGACAGCGGCCTCCAGGAAGCAAGACTGCAACGTTTTCGTGACCAAAGTTCACAACGCTACAACAGCTGCCACCTTCACATGGAAAGGGGGGTGGGGGTGGGGGGTCTCGTCTCAAGACAAGAGCTATACTCAGCAAAAGGGGGTGGGGGGTCATACACCGGAATTAACACGTGTTTGCGGTAGGGGTGGTATATTTTTCCATCCAGGTATTTGAAGCGGTATTAAACACATCCGCGCACTGACGAATTATACCTAAAACATACGTACGTGTGTGTGTGTGTATGTGTGAGTGTGTGTGTGTGTTAGTATATGTGTGTACGTGTGTGAATGGGAGGGGGGGGGACAAAAGTCACAATACATATAGTGGCGTGGGGGATATCGTTTCTGGACGGACGTCTACAGGCGACAACAGCGCCCAGAACACATGGAGAAGCATATATATATATATATATATATATATATATATATATATATATATATATATATATATTATGTTAATTATTACTTTCACTGTATTTCATCATCATTTACCATTAATTTTGAAGGCAGTAACAATATTAACACTGTCAATGCACCTTCATTG